GCGAGCGCCAAGGAACTTCGAGTTCTTCGAGTAAGAGTTCGTCGCTGTCTGGCGGAACACCAGAAGGTGGAGCAATGGATGACGAAAGCGATGATGATGACGACGACCCAGGAGAGGTGAGAACAAAGAGAAAAGGGAAGAAGAATTGGTGCCTGATGAGATGACGCTAGCAGAGTTTCAAAGAGAGATTGCAAAAAGAAGTGCAGAAGAAGAAGGAGAAGGGTCACCAAAGAAAGGACCAAGAGTAGACGAAGGAACTGGAGAGGTAGAAGAAAGAGTCGAAAAAGCGCCAAGACTTGGAGGAGAAGCAAGAGGAAGTGCGGCGCGAGTGGAGTACCACATTAGGAGATTCGCCAAGAGCGAGGATCCCGAAGAGCATGGAGATGAGTATGTGGATCTCGACGAGACACAGCTTTTTCTCGAAGAGAGTCGAGAGTTCCAGAGCAAGTGGAACGAGAAGGTGTATGAGACAGAAGAGGACCTAACGGTTACTTGGTCTCATGAGTATGATGATGGGCCACCTAAGTTGGAAGCTGAAGACTTAGAGAAGGTGGACCAGAAAGCGGAGAAGACAGAGATCGAAAGGTTGTTGGAGATGAAAGTTCTCAAAGAAGTGGACCTGGATGAGAATGGAGAGTTGAAGAAATCACCGAATGGAGAAGAACCAAAGAAACTCAGTACAAAGTACGTGTTGGATTGGAGGCATAGGGACCTCCAATGGAAGAGGCGCGCACGCCTAGTGGCGCGAGAATACAAGTGGCTGACAGACTACGACCTCTCAGCGCTATACTCACCAACGAGCATTGGTTCGAGTATCAAGCTGTTGTCAGCTTTGTGTGCGAGTTCAAGAGACTACGAGATGATCTCGATAGACATCTCTGACGCGTACCTTCAGGTGCCACAGAAGGAGTACACAGTAGTGAGTTTAGGAGGAAAGTGGTACCAACTGCAGTACACCCTGCCGGGACAACGAACAGGAAGCAGTGATTGGTTTGAGCATCTACGTGAAATCCTGGAGAAAGAGAAGATGGTTTCCGATGTGGGATCACCAAGCTTCTTTTACAAGTTCTCAGAAACGCCAGGAGAAGGAGGAACGCTCATGAGTACGCATGTGGATGATTTGGAAGTGTTTGGAAAACCAAAAGAGAACCAAGCGGTAGTTGATCGGCTGCTGAAGCACAAGCTGAAGATCAAACTGGAAGGTCCAGTGAAGGTTGGAGAAGGAAAGTGAACTTTCTTGAAGAGAACGTTCTTGGGAACGAAAGAAGGAATTGAGATCAGGATGGACGGCAAGTACTTGGAAAAAATGGAAGAGATTTTAGGTTTGGGTAAAGCCCTGCCAAAGAAGTTGCCGTTTCCAATGGATTACGGAAGATCGTTGAAGGACGACACGCCTTTGGATGCAGATGAGCACCATCTGTATACATCCAGCGTAGGAATCCTATTGTACATGACGCCAGAGAGACCTGATTTGGGATTCGCTACGAAGTGGTTGTCAGGAAAGTTGGCAGCTCCAACGCGAGGAGACTTAGCAGTGCTTAGGCACGTGGCAAAGTATGTGAAAGCGACAGCCCACTACGTGATAGAACACAAAGAGACATATCCTGGAAAGAGTTTTCTGGATCCAAGTGATAAGAGAACTGAGAATGCCTACAAAGATGTTTTTACAGCAAAGAGTTTGATCGAGGTAGTGACTGACGCCGACTGGGCGACCGACCGTGAGAATAGGCAGTCAACGAGCTGCGTTTTGATTTTCGTGAACAGCAACATTGTTTACTTTCACGCTAGAAAGCAAAAAGCGACAGCTTTGAGCAGCTGCGAGAGTGAACTTGTAGCAGCTGTTGGAGGTTTGAGTGAAGGAGTTTTTCTGCAGAACCTGTTGCACAGGGTTCTTGGGATTAGGCCGGACATGGTGATCCGGATGGATTCTGGCAGTGCTAGGTCTATCATCTTGAAGAAAGGCTTTGGAAGAACGAGGCACATTGATGCCGGACTGCTTTGGGTTCAAAGGCTTACTTCAGTAGGTCTTCAAGTGAAAGCAATAGCTGGAAAGGAGAACCCTGCAGATGTAGGGACAAAAGCCTTGTCACGGAACGCTGTGGTGAAGTGTTTGGAGAGAATTGGTGTGAGAACTGGAGAAGAGAGTGAAGAGGTCAGGGTAGCAAGTGACTTCAAGATCCCTACGAAGTATCTAAGGAGACTGGTGATGATGATGATGATGGTTCAGCAATGTGATGGACTAAGAGAGCAAAGCAGTAAAAGCAGTGATGGTGGATGTTTCGGTTTGGTGATGATGGTGATGATGATGACCATGGTGGTTGTCATGCTGTGTAACGGTAGCTTGTGGAAGAGGTTGGTTGAAAGTGCTGAGTGCATGTTTTATTCCGCCGCTGCCGTTTTCAACTCAAGGAAGGAAGTGAGAAGAAAGGAAGTGAAGAGCAAAGAAGAAGTTGAAAAGAAAGAAAAAGAAGAAAAGAAGTGATGGCGGACGATGAGGCCGTTAAAGTGATGATCCGCGACGAAAGCATAAGCATTCAAGCTGTGGAGTTCTGCAACAAGGAACTGAAGATGCCGCGCGAAAAGCGCCAGAGCATAGAGAAGATTTGGACAGAAGTCCAGCAGTTAAACAAGCTGCGCGAGGATGCTCCAACACCTCCAAGAGAAGAAAAGTCCGAAGAAAAAGTGGAGGTGCCGCCAGAGTTTAAAACGACTGGAGACGAGCTTGCAGTTGAAGCTGAGGCTGGGCAAGCAAGTGTGATGGCGGGAAGAATAGAGGAGCTTAAGCAGAAAGCAGAAGCAGCGAGCGAGAGAAGAAAAGCGCAGAAAGAAGCAGCCAATGAGGTTGCAGAAGGCCAAAAGAAGGCCGAGGAAACAAAAGAAGAGCCAACGGAGGAGCCGAAGGAGGCCGAGGAGTCTAAGAAAGAGAAAGAGAAAGAAGACGAGCAGGAAAGCTCGGAAAGAGAAGAGGAGGAGAGCTCGGATAAAGAAGAAGAGGAGAGCTCGGAAAAAGAGGAAGAAGAGAAAGGCTTGAAGAGGAAGATAACGAGTCGACCGACGAAGAGTTTCAGGAGATTATGAAGAAGTTTGCAAAGAAGTCGGTTACAAAGGAGGAAGAAAAGGTCCGGAAGATTCTCGGATCTATGAGTAGCCTTCAGGCGAAGCTGGATGAAAAGCGAAAAAAATTCGCTATCTATAGTGACCTGTATACGTACAGGCAGAAGCAGAAGAAGTTGAAGGAAGAGGAAAAAGAAAGGCTCGTGGCGAAAGAGATTGAAGTTCAGGAAGAGCTGAAGCGAGTGGCTGACGAAGCCTACGTTGCTAAGGAGGAAATAGAGAGACAACTCGAGAAAATTAGGAAAGAGGAGGAACAGCAGGAAGTGGAGGCCACCCTCATCATGGATGAGGAAATGGCAATCATGCTTGAGATGGACAACCTCCGTCCACAGCTTTCTGAGGCTCTCAACGAGCTGAGGAACAAGAGGAAACAAATGAAATTGCCAGAAGAAAAACTGCTGTTGAATGAGAGCGACCAGAGAGCGCTCGAGGAACTTGAGAAAAAGAAGATGAAAGAGATGAAGGAGATCACGGAAGCCAAAGAGAAAGAAGTGAAGGAGGAATTGGATAAAAAGGAGAAAGAGATCACGGATCTCAAAGAGCAGAAGGAGAAAGAGCTTGCAGAGCTCAAAGCAACAAAAGAGAAGGAAGTGAATGAACTGAACGAAGAGCTGCGCAAAGTGAAAAAGAGAAAAAGCCTAAGTGGAGCAGCAGCAGCAGCAGCCCCTCAGAGCGAGGAGCTGGAGAAGAAAGAAGAAGAGCTGCGAAAGGCGAAGGAAGAGCGCAAAAAGATGAAGGAAACAATCAAAGAGTTGGGCAAAGGAAATCAAAAGTTGGAGGAAGAGTTGGAGAAGGTAAAAGAGAGAGAGAAGGTCGAGGAGGACCCAGAGGCAGCGACCGCACCGGTCGTTTGCTCTCTGTGCTCGAGGTTCGGGCACTCTGCAGATGTATGTTGGGACGGAGATTTCAACTACAACAGTGGTGGACAATATCAACCGATATGTCAGCGGGAGAATATGACGAAAGAGGATTTTGCGGTATGGTTCCGCAAGAACGAGCCCGCAGTGAGGCGAGCTTACGCGAATCGACTGGAAGCGTCGAAGAAGAAGTACAGGACGGAGAATCCTGGAAAAGGGAAAGGAAAGAAAGAGCAGCAAAAGAGTTAAAGAGAAAAGAGAAGAAAAGAGAGACCGTACCTCAGGTCTATAAAGAAGGAGGGATCAAATAGAGAGACCGTACCTCAGGTCTATAACCAAGGAGGCGGAAAGAGCAAGAAGGGGTTTCCACCCCAAAGAAGTTTTGCAGCACAGCTGCCGAGGAAGTTTCACAAACGATCCGACTTAGTGTTGGATAAGCGGAAAACCGCTAAAGAGGAGTGAGTTCTTTTGTGGCTAAAAAGCCAACGAAGTGAAACGAAGTAAAGAGCTTAGTGAGAGCGACCGGTAAGTGTAGCTCTTGTCTCACTCGTTTCACACGACAAAGCGGTGCACCACGACGTGTTTAAAAGGAGAAGTGAGCGACTGTTTTGGGTTCGTAGCACCTCTAGGAAAGGAGAAAGAGGAAAGAGGCTGCAACGAAGAGGGGGTAACAAACATTTCGCTTAGGAGTGTGTTGCCCTATAATCCTGTAGCTGAGCTATTTGCCACATGTTTTGTATAGCTTGGAACAAATGTTCCACTGTGGTGTTTAGGCTCAAGGGACGCACCCAAGACAGACCGTGCTCCCGAGGAAAAGTGAAGTGCGAATATCTGTGTGAAGTGAAAGGGTTTGGAACGTACCCGTAAAGCGTTTTACATTGAGATAATGGAGTTTGTTCTGACGAACAAGATTGTTGTGCATCTTGACATACAGGAGCACATAGAAGACGTGTGTGTCGTGAGCCTTCGTGTTGAAGCTGGACGCATAGCCACGAAACCATGAAAAGGTTTGTTCCGCTATGGAGGAATTCACGGAACGGAGGCGTAGATCAAGTCGACGGACATGAATAGGAGAGCAAGGACACGAAGCAGAATGTGCTTTCGCGTGGAATCGGTCGACAGACCAATACTTGATCTCTTGAAGTCCTTGTCTGTTGTGAACGACTTCAAGCACACGCACATCTTGTCGTAAATGACACAATTCAAGTTGGTGGCCTTGGTGAGAACCTTGCCCAGGACATTCTTAGCGACTGCACTGTTTTCAGGCTCCGACATATCCGAAACAGAAAGAACCGTGCCACTAGACGGGTCTATGGCCATAAACCAACCATTTTCACGCTGCTTCGTACTCCCGTCCTTCCTTGGTCGTCCTGCGTGGGCAGGAGATGGCCCTGAGCGTTTGGGCGCAACCTTTTCATGACCATCAATGACAACCTCATGCACAGCACGCCACTCTGACAAGGTAAGCTGTTTCCGTTGCCACCAATCACGATAGAAATCAAGAAACTTGTTTCCCAGTGGCTGTTCGATAAGGATGCCATACAAGTGCCCATGATGCGAAGAGGGTGTCCACATCTGGGTGGCTTCCTTTACGACTTGATAATAGAGCTGTGCATTGGCATAGTCGATGTGCCATCGAGCGTGTTGGTCGGGTTCCTCCCACATGACCTCACCCTGAACGAACATGATGGCATTATGACTTAGACCACCACGAAACTGCAAGGCATTGTGGTAATCCAGGAATCGTCGACAAAACCCGAGCCGACTGTTCACACAGATGTAGTCCATGCGGTCCAGGTCCAAGCTATGATACTTATCTCCATCCACTTTGCGGTAATTGTAGTGGTGATGGACTCGACATGTCTTTTTTGGAACATCGCTTGATGACCATGGACACCTCCTCCATGCCACCAAGGGTGTATAGCCGACCCGATACTACATGTGCAGTTGCCAATGGTGCGCCACACTCTCTGCAAGATACCAAAGGAGTCACAATTCCACGTGGCTGTGATTGTTGACCGTCTGATCGCATCGCTGCTCCCTGTAGCTTGTACTCAGGACCCGTCGCCTCTGGAAGCTCATGCGACACTGTGTCCAAGCGGAACCAGGTAGAGCAAGTGTCCTCCTCCAAGAGACGCGGCGGAGCATTGGCGGACACTTCCAAGCGCTTGCTTCCGGCATCGACACCCTCAATGCTAACAACATCCGCCGACAGAAATTGGAAGCCATACCAGTGTCCTCGCTCTTCCTCAAAGGAGTAATGAGCAAAGAATGTAATAGACGCGTCCTGTTCCGCAACGATCTCATCCTGGGTGATATGAACCAGTCGAAATCCTGCATCCGTGGTTCTCTGTGAGGAGTGCAGCAACCCGGCATTGAAGACTTCTGCAGAGAGCGGCTCGTCGCAATCAACGAGAAGCTCACATCACAGGCCGGACATGGGGAGGCTATGACATTGATCAGGCGGTTGGGGTAGGCTCTCGCGATCGTATCATCATCTCTGACAACTGCACGACCAGATCGATGAGCAAGACGAGGAAATGTCAGAGGCAACATGGTAGGCCATGACTTCACCTCCAACGGCACGTCATTTTTTTGCGCAACCTCCACACACGGCCATGATCTGGATCTCTGCCTGTAGACTGAAGCATTTGATGTAGGCTCCGTCGAAGATGAGCATGTTCATCTGAGAGCCCACAACTGCAGAGACATTCGTAAGCAACTTGGCCTCTTCGAAAGATAGCAACGCGGACAAACGACTGAATTCAGGATTGCGTCGATCTGCGAACAACGCACTAAATTCCATGGATTCCGGGTGCTGAAGAAGAACTGTAGCTGCTTGCTGGACCTCTGCGCACAGTTTCAGAAGAAACGGAATTTCAACAGTTGGCTTGCCCCCGTAGAAGATCCTGATGAGCTCTGTTTTTGCAACATCCATCGGAGCCTCCATGTACTCCGCTAGACACTTCCGCCACGCCTGAAAGTTCTCCACAAAGAGATTCAACATTGGGTACTTGTCAGCGTCCCACAGATTGTAGAGCATGAGTTTCTGGACTAGAAGGCGAGGATGGCAGCAAGGTACGTCGATCTCGGCGCAGTGTGTCTCGAATGCCGCTTTCCGGGCTTCTCTTGTTAGCTTCTGACCACCAAGTCGACGTACAAGAGAACGCCCGTAATGAGGAAGCTTGTAGTACTCGACAGGCGAGATGGAGTACTCTGTGTCCCTATGACCAGAGTCGATGTGCTTCTGTACATATGCATCCAAGATGTTCTGGCATCTGTCGGTACCCAAAGCCGCATATGTACACAGTGATGTCCAGTGAACACTCTCATGATAACGACCAACCGTGATGCGTCCCAAACAGAGCTGATCCTGACCATTGTGCTTGTGTTTCTCCTGATCATTTAGAAGCTGAAAGGGACAGCTCCAGGATGACCAAGAACCGAAGACTGCGGTGCCTCCGAGTTTCTCCATGATGGAGCGCAGTTTGGGCCATCGAATCAGAAGTTTGTGAAAGCATTGTGATTGGACCTGCTTGAAGAGCAGATATTCTGCATGGTCGACCGCTTCCACGAAGTATGACATCTTGGTGCGCTTTCCCTTGTAGGAACTGACATGTCCAGGCAGTGATTCGACCTTCAGGATCAAATACTCCTTGATGACTCTCTTCCAAGGTGTGGCTTCATGCACTTCCAAGACACGCTCGTTTGACTCGGAAACCATATCGAGTACATTACCTGGCGGAGGAGCTGATGATCCCGACAAGCAAAGTGCAAGCCATTGTGTATCTCTCTCGACTTCTGGATGAACTCCCTCCAAATTGTTTATCAGGTCCAAGCAATCCTGGATTGGGTTGTCTTCGAAGAACAGAATGCACCAATCTCGAAGGAAGACCGCCGAGAAATGACTTGAGCTGGTCCTGAGGAATATAGCGGAAAGTTCCATCATTGGGGTTCACCAAGTCATCTCGTGTGGTGTAGACCGCCTTGCCCATGATGAAGCACACAACGCGTTGTCGCAATTGTTCGCATGACTTTTGTCTGTCCCTGGACTCTTCGATGACGGGTATGTTCTCGAAGTTGAGTTCTTGGACTTTCAATGCCGCTCCAAATCGCCGCTTGGAGGTGAACCGGTGAACCCGTAGTTGGCGCGGCAGTCTATTTCCTCGTCAACAACGAACCTTTTCCATATATCGGCAACGAAGTGGCCGCTGCGGTCCATCTCTTGGATGCGAACGCATGCTTTATTCCAAGCTAATTTGGCGGATTTTCGGAACTCCATTCTGTCTAGAAACACTCCACAATCCAGAGTCGCACTGGCCTCGTTGCCAAAGAGCGCTGTGTCCAACACAGCTTCCATACCCTTGCCATCGCCTCCTCGCCCTATTTCAAAAATCATCTTGCCGGTGCACTTGCCTAGAAAGGCAGCATGCATGAAGGCTAGCTTCAACTGGAATAAGTGATCGTTCTGGTAATAGACGGACTGAAGGAAAGAGCGTAGTTTCGCTCGAATGACTCGGAGATCGAGATCCGGGGATGAAGTAGCAGTTGGCTTCTGGCGACTTGTTGGTGACCTGCCAGGCCTGATTGATATAAACATCATCAAAACAAATTCCTCTCGATTGGGGCATCGGTGTGTCCCATTCACTCAGGAACAGCTTCGAGATGATGTGCTTCGGCTTGTCATCCTCCCAGCTCCGTCGGAGTTGTGCCATCATGTCAGCACACCGCCGCGTCCAGTGTGCCTGCCATGTTTTGTTTGCCGTGGAAGCTCTCAGATGATCGCTGTTATCCTTAGCAACTTTGACAAGCGCGCCGATGAGATCACCGTTGCCCTCCACACCATCAGCAACAATGTCCAAGATGTAGTGCTTGGCCTCCTCCCAGGACCAAGTCATGGAAGCATTCTCATCCTGAAGCTTCAAGGCCAACTGTATGAAAAGACCTTCGAGGGCTAGAAGATTGTCCCAAGCGACAATGTTCAAGCTGCCCTTCATGATCCATGCTCCATTGTCGTAGTGGAAGATTTGTCGTTTGTGAGCACGCCAGTGATCCCCGTCAAGAAGCATGGCCAGCATCAGTTTCTGCTTATTTGACAACATGTAGTTGGTACAATCAAGCTCGCAAACGAACTTGCTCATGGCCACAATGATGCGATGTGCAGGAAGAAGATGTCCTTGTTCGTGTTCGGCCCAGGTCTTGTATGCTTGAACCTTGCTTATCAAGGGTCTGGAAACCCCAATGTCCTGAGGAGGTGGTGGTACCGGGATGGCTGCTTCGCGGTGGTGCATGTCGTGAAGCTCATCGAAACTGCCGATCCTTAGTAAGCTGCAATGCAGGATTACAAACCAAGAGAGCATACATATCACGAGCAAGCCTAATTATGGCTTAGAATTCAGGGCTGCGCAGATTCGATCCGCGAAGACGTTTGCGTGGTGGATCCGTGTCCCGCACTGATCCAACACCGAACTCTTCTTCCATGAGCGTCTCGAGGTCTTTCTCAAGTGGATCACGAGCTGCTCCGATGGACATGGCTTGGAATAGAATCTGTGAAGGAAGGACAAAATAAGGGAAACCTGAGGCTGAAAAGAAGACAGCAGAATCACAAACTTCATTGCGCAGCTCCGACGGCAAGAATGAACATGTGCGTAGTGTAGCACTTTCATAGAGCAGATGAGGATGAGAACCGAGCCTTCATCGCGTGGGCCAAAGGGAGTGAGGAATCCACCTGGGCGTTATTTGCTAATCGTTCGCGAATTTGTACAGGTCGGCTGTTGGCTTGATGGGCCCTTAAAAGCACATGTACACCAGTGTGGGTTGAATTCGAAGGATTAACAGATTAGTTTATCGTGTTCATATTGTGTTCCTTCTTCTCAGATTTGGCCTCTGTCCCCTATTTGTCCCCCTTTGTCCCCTCTTGTCCCCCTTTGTCGCCCCTTTGTCCCCCTTTGTCCCCCTGTTGTCCCCCTTTGTCCCCCTTTGTCCTCCTTGTCCCTGAGCCGATACACCCCTTTAGGATCACTCCTGTGGGAGTGTATGACCAGTTAAGCCCCGTGGGATCTAAGGCAACGCCCAGCACACGGACAGCAAGTGTTTTGTTCTGCTACGCAGAGAGAGCTTTGTGTCAAGTCGGTAGAACCACTTGAGCCAATGAGCAACGGGCATATATACATGTGAGCATACAGCCATGCCATTGCTGAAAGTACCTTCCCCTTTGGGAGTTTAGGCAAAAAACAGACACTAATTTTCTTTTACTGTAAGCATGGCCGCGTGTCCACATGTATACATCTTCCTTAAAAGTGCTCACTGTCTCGAAGTTAGCGGAGTATGGACTCAGTAGAAAATACAATACCGTAGATATTTCTGAAATTGAGAACAACTGCGAAGTACTCCTTTTCATGCAAGATGTTGGGTCAGAGAGATCGTCTGTGCATGATCAAGTCTGTGTATTTTGCTACATCGAATTATGCACCGGCTCACTTGGCTCTTGATAGAGCATTAGTATTCTTCTTGGAGGAACAGTCATCTCCGATTGGGATCCATGTCTGGATTGTAAGACCTGCAGATGGCATTTGGATGCGGCTCATCTGGATCTGAATGATCCTCTTCTTCCTCGCTGGAGAAGATACCCATCATCCTGTTTTCTGCTCTTCTGAATGCCTCATCAATTCCATCATCTCCGTATGCGGATGGTTCAGATCTTGATTTTGCCTTTGGCGCAGCTTGTGAGCTGGTGGCCTGGGAATTTGATTTTGCTGTTGCCCTGGTTCTACGGTGGTTCGGTCCATCAGAGGATGGCAATGAACGCTCGGATTCGTCTCCGGATGGAGAGAGGGCATGTGAAAGCAGATTGCCCCAGTATCCATGAGTAGAAGGAGACGGTGCTCCGTCTTGTTCTTCTTCTTCTTCATCTTGATCACTCTCTGAACTCTGATCATCAAAGAGAGCTTCGAGGGTGTTCTTGAGATTGATGTGCTTCCTCTCAAGTTCGAGAGATGAGTTGACCAGCTGGTTGAGAATAGTCTTCGCCTGTCTCAAGGCTGTAACAAGAATTGAAACTCTGGATAGAGTATCAGCGTGTTTGTCGATTTGCTCTTTTCTTTTCTTTCCGGTCCCTCTCGGTAGAGGTTTTCAGTGCTGCTGTAAGCTCCAGAAGGTTTGTGTACCTTGCCAGTGGCATAGTGATGGTCATGTTGTCATTTATGACAAAAGCATTGTCACTATTGCTCAGGCTCCTGAGAGTGTTTCTATGACAGGAATAAATTCGGTGGAGAATGGTTCCTCCTCATCGAATGTCTCAATATGCTGGAGCATACTTTGGGTAAAAGTCTCAGACGCATTGATTGTCGCATCGATAGTGTCAACGTGTCTGAGCATGATATTCCTGCTTAGCTGATTTACAGCTGCACCCTGTTGAGTTTGTTGAAGAGCTGCGTCAACTTGATTGCAGAGCCCTTGATTGTGGGCTTCTCTCAGCGCTTTTCGCTGGATGCGCCTATTCATACCTCCTCTTCTTGTTCGTCCTTTGGGAACTGCAGAGGTCACTGGCGCTGATCCTTGAGAGGATGTCTTGGCCTTCGGCGGAGGCTGTTTCGGCGGAGGTGACAGGCCCTTTGCCATGAGTGGCACTGGCGGCACAGCAGCAGGTGTTGAGGATGTTGCACTTGATAGTGCTGCTTGTCCTCTGGCCTTGGCAGTAGAAACCTTCGGAATAGAGGTGTCTGTAACACCAAGCTGTTCTTCTGCAAGTTGAGTTGTTACTGCGTCTTGCCATAGTTGTCTCATGTGAGAAATGCTGCTGGCGTCTTCGTAGATCTGAAATCGTTCAATGTCTCGTTCAGTGCCACGTGGTCGTGTGTCACCTCTGTTGAAGATGTCATTTCTTCTTATCTCCGCCGTTAATACGGCATGCAGGCACGTTTTGCATAGGACCTTCCTTGACACATCCCTAGCCGTTCTCAGCTGGACACAGTTGTTGGAAAGGTGATAGCAATCACTTCAGGTGTGTAGTCTCGCCTGCATTGACCCGGCTGCGTCCAGTGAAATCTCTGCCTTGAGGCTCGTCCTCAGGTTCGAGGAAGGGAGCACTTGGCTTGCCTTTTGCCTTGGACTTCGGAACCTGACGCTCTATGCACTGGACAGGAGATCTTGTCAGTTGTTTCCACATCCATCGAAGTCCCATCAGCATGAGAAAGAGTTTCCAGGCGATGCTGAGAAGAGAATAATCTTGTTCACTTGGTAGTGAGTCAGGCAGAGAGGAATGATCGGTCTCTGTTGATTCCGCGTTCGCTCCACCGTGTTTTCGATGACCAAACCAGCCGGGCAGACCTGCTGCTGTTGCAGCGGTTTTGGCTGCCTTGGCACTTGGTGCTGACGGAGGACGCGACGATTTTCTTCTCCTCCTGCTTGAGGATTCTTCTTCTTCTTCCTCTTCTGTCCGATGCGCATCCATCAGGTTTGATGTTTCGCGCTCGTGTTCCTCAATATCACTCTGAGTGGGAGACTGTTCTTCATCAAGTTCTTGGAGCTCGTCCAGGGACATACCTATTTTCTCAACCACGTTTGGTTTTGTATGCCTCGACCTTGATCTTGGTGGATCATCCTGAGATGATGCTGCTCGCTCTCTTCCTGGTGGAGGATATAACGGCTCAGCAGGTCTCTGAGGCTGAGATCTGTCCCACCAACGATCATTGGTGTAGGACCGGCCTGATGGCCGAGGTTTGTCCCACCAATGATTGCCTGACGAGTAAGTAAAGGAACTATTAGATGGCTGTTGCCATTCTGTGTATCCAGTATATCTCTGGTGGTAAGCCTGTTGCCTTTTGGCAAGCTTCTCGACCTGTTGGTCGGATCTGGCATGATGGCCCTTGGTGGACATTGCCTGAATAGTAAAACCAAGAGGACTGTACCAGTCCTTATCTGATGGGCCGAGCCACAGGTCTGTGTTTGAGAAGGTACCGTAGTACCCTTTTGTTGTGATGTGCAGTCTGGCATCAATGTGCTGCTCTCCGTTGACAACGTGCCATCTGTCGGATACTCTCTCGTAAGTTCTCTCGACAGCACGTGTCACGGCCTTCTGACTTGGAGTCGCCGTGTGCGTCGTTTTGCCCCAGTCCAGGATGTAAGCATTGATGCAGTCCAGATCTGCGTACCTTTCACTCGGTTTCTGAGGGAGCTTGTCTGCGTGTGCCAGCCTATTCTGGTCAGAATTGTTGATGCAGGCATGTCGCACTTGTGAGTGCCTATCTGCCAGACGGTTGTAGGCAGCCAGCTTCTTCTCTAGATAGAGAGTGAATAGGCTGTTCCTGGGATGTACGTCGCCACCACGCAGGTTGAGTCTTGATGCAATGTTGTTCAGGTCTCCAGTGATAATGTCTGGCTTGAAAGGCAGGACTTCATTGAGGAACGCATTAACATATTCTTGCCGTTGTAACTCTTTGTGAGTCATGAAAGAATTGAAATGGATGAGTGCAACGGTCACGACCTTGAAGGGTCCTTTTGTGCACCACATCTCGTTCAGATCGGCATTGGCTTCTTGAGAGAAGATTTCTGCGTAAGTTTCGAAGTCAGCTGCGGTGAGTTCTGTTCCATCTGTGAGACCGTTCCACTCACATAGGACTGGACATGGATCCAGATCAGACGTCGTAAGCCAGGAGTCTGGTGACAGATATGAAGAATCTGTTGGGCCGTCCTTGTCTGGATTTTTTACCCTTGAGAGGGTCTGAGCCTAGAAGCCTTGTGTATTCCTCTCGGGTAATGCGCTGACCCGTTTGCGGGTGAATCCATTCCTTTGCTTCAGGCAAAGTGGAATGAAAACCGAAAGTCATTCTACAGACGGCGCCATGACAGGCCCATATCAGTTTCCTTGGACCTCCTTCCTTTGGCTTGACTTCTCGATGTCTGTAAAAATGGTGAACGAGTGCAACATCCGTGGTCGGATCTCCTTTCACGCCTAGGTACATTGACGGTGCTGGAGGTTCATCCCTCGGGGTATGAATCATCATTCCCCGATACTGAAATTTCCTCATAATATCAATGGCGTATTCGGAGGTTAGGGCGCCTGCCTCGAGTATGAGGGTGATGTGTGCTGAGTTGTTAAAGCACATGTCGATCAGCGGATGATAATCGAACCCCTTCTCAGGTTTGAGCTTTTTCCTGAGATTTCCGGCAGGAACAGGGGCCCTATCCATATTCCCCCAATTGCACACTATGACGCCGAGTGTGGCGGAATCTGGATTGGATCCTTCGATGAAATCTTTTGGTGCACCTACTCCTCCTATCCGGTTCCGGACAATTTCGTAGTGCGCATCCAACACATCCTTGCTCTCGTGACCCGTAAGGGCAAGATAAGATGCCGGGTGGCATGTTTTAGAGCCTCGGATATTAATGTGTTGACTGTTAATCATCTTGTATTCCTCCAGGGTTGGAGATTCTGTCTTACTGGTGTAAGTTCTTGTTGGTTTATTTCGGGTGTCTTCTACGATAGAAGGATCGACACCTGGATTGGCTCGAATGAAAGTCTCTCGAGCAAT